AAAGTCCTTCAGGTCGTCCAGGTTGTAGATGCCGGCAGGAAGAGGAACCTGTCGTCCAACCGCATCAAATTCCTGCAGCAACGAGCAATCAGGTCAAAGAAACGGAGAGTGAGGAGGTTACAGCTCTGAGGAATCATGGGGGAAAATTTCTCCACACTGCAAAACACAAAACCCTACCAAGTATTTTTGATCCAGTTTCTTGTGCAAATATCTCAGCACACTTGAAAAGTAACTTGCAAGAAACTTTTCAGCAAGAAACAGGAGCTTGTTTTGAGTCAATAATTCCTTAATATTGATGAAAAAGTTCTAGTTCTACTGGTATTTATAACAAGTACAACATGGAAAACTGTCTTGTTATAAATAAAATAATCTGCCAGTTGAACTAGAACTTTTTTTTAATCAATATTAAGGAATTATTGACCTAAAACAAACAGCAATTTCTTGCTGAAATGTTAATTGTAAGTTAGTTTTGTCTTATTTCCAGTATATAAACATATTTGCCTTAGAAACCAGACAAAAATACTTGGTGAAATTTGGTATTTTTGCAGTGTAGGATTTATTTTTAGTTTTTTGGTGGAAATTTACTTCTCCCCATTATATATTTTTATTTCATCTACAATGACTCTAATGTTTTCTTTCTGTTCATTAACTGCATCCAAACTGAGAACTCCTACCATTTACCTCCTATAAACGCATCAGAGGTGGATTAGTGAAATTCATTTAGCATCTGATGAATATCAGGGACATTATGTTTGGTGATAATCTTCCAATTCATTCTTTTGGTTCAAAATTATTAAACATACTAAAGAACCTGCAGCTTATCTTTATTTTCTGTGTTTAAGTCTTTAGACTAAAAGGAATCGGTCAACAACCAATAAAACCTGATCAAATAAAACTGATGCTACTGTAAAAATTTGAGTAGAAATCATCTGCTGCTGTGAGTTCAGCCGTTTTCTTACCTCGTAGAAGCGACAGACAGGCAGGTTGGGATTGCTGTGGCGCTGAGCGCGGATGTAGGACGCCGTCAGACTGTGGCACTTCCCGTCTACCTCCTTCCCAAACCGCAGAGAGCTGACCTGCACAGAGAAAAGAAACAATTTTATTATCATTATCAAAACTTAAACAATTAATCGGATTAATCAGTTATTAGAAATAATTGTCAACTAATGTAGTAAGTGATTATAGTTTGCAACTAGAGTATGCAGACTCTTAAAATGGGCCATTTGCTGACAGAACAACACTGAGTCGTAATTAACCAGTAGAAAAATATAAACATTTTGCATTTAAGATGAAAAAACACCATGTCTGTAAACATGTTCATCTGGTTCAAATTATGTAAAATATATATAAAAATCTCCTTTTAAGTACCTTTTTTATCCAATTATTATTAATCGTTTAATCAAAAGAATAACCACCAGATCAGCCACAGGGTGTTCATGTTCAGTCCAACAGAAAACTTTCCATGTGTTGATTTAGAAGGATTTTTTAGCTGCAGATGTGTCTTTTGCTACAAGTGATCTAACATTTACTAAAGGAATTATATGTTACTGCATTTTAGGCAATAAAATGTTCATTTTTGTATTTAAAAATGTTATTGAATTGTTAGTTTATTTATATCTTTTATTTCTAGTAGCGTATAAAAAAGTCTTAAGAGGGTAAGTGAAGATATGCAGAATGTGGCAATTAATTCAATCCGCTGGAATAATCATTAGTTGCATCCCTAATCACTATTTTTGTAAATATTATTTCTCAGAGGTGTTGGAACGACAGTCCAGCAGTTCGTACCTCTGGGTGGATGCAGAGGTTCTTCCTGGAGGACAGAGACAGAGCCAGGAAGTTGTTCGCTTCTCCCGTTTCTTTGGCATAAAACTCCATCAGCTTCCTGAGTTCTTCCACAACCTCAACACAGAAGCAGAAAGTTTTAAACCATCTTCCTATAAATCCACCACTTGTTGTTTCTCTGTAGAAGCGTTTATTACAGAGGAAAACATGTTATTGACTTACTTTCTCGATTTCAGGAACTGTTCTGGAGCAGTAAATCAACTTGGTCACGTCCAGCGGAAACGCCTGAGGAACACAACAGGCTGTGATGAAGCGATCAGAACCGAGTCGTCAGAAGCTCCAAACGTTGGAGATGAAACTCACCCTCTGGTAGGCGACGATGAGAGACAGCAGAGAGATGGTCTTCCCTGTTCCTGACGGCATCTCCAGGACTCCATGACCCTGAACACACACAGGATCAGTTCACACACTGCAAAAACACAAAATCTTACAAAGTAATTCTAATTTCCAGTTCAAATATTTAGTGCACTTGAAACAAGGCAAAACTAACTTGGAAGTAACTTTTCAGCTAGAAATATCAGCTTGTTTTCAGTCAACAATTCCTCAATATGAATTAAAAAGTTCTAGCTCCTCTGGCTGATTATTACACTTTTACCAATATATTTTTCTCCACGTTATAAGTGAAATAATTTACCAATGGAACTAGAAATTTTTTCATCAGTATTAAGGAATTATTGACTTTAAACAAGTGCACTACCACATTTCCACTGGAACAAGATTTTAAAAAATGCTTGGTGCAAAAATGCAAAATCTTGCTAAGTATTTTTGTCTAGTTCTACTGCAAATATATTGAAGAAATGAATCATTAATAAGGTTTACAATACTACTTTTATATAAAAAGTTATAAAGTAATTTCCGATTTAATTAGATTTTCCACAAAAACAAAACTACTGAGTCAGTTTTAGAGGAGAACTCCAGTAAACAAACTCTGTACAATAAGAAAAACACCGAACAAGATGGATGTTTCTTTCTCTGTTTAATTAATACTTGATGTCAATAGTTCATTATTAACAAATTATTCCCTATGGGGTTTTACAATAGGGAGTATTTCTTTGTCTGCGTGAGTTTGTTGGACACATTTACGTAAAAAGACCCAAGTTTTATTTTATTTTTCTAATTGAAGAGATTGTGATTGGGGAAAAACCTACTTTTGCATCCAAAGTCCTCTTAAGCTCCAGCATGTAAGAGTACTGCTCCGGATAGATGTAATCATAAGGAAAATAGACCAGCAGACCCTCGATGTTCAGCCTGAAATGTCAAAGCCAGAGTTTAAGTTAATTAAATTTAGCTAAAACTTCATACATCCAGGCAAAAACTAGCACCCCGCCAACTCGTTTTCTCCTATTTTAATGATTATTCCACTAGAAAATCACTCACTTCATGTTAGCGGACTGTTTAACAGAGATTCTTCTTAGTATCCTGGGTTTAAATGTTCATTTTAAACTAAAACTAAAGAAAAAGAGATGATAAAGCAGAGATTAGCAACGACACAAACTGCTTCTTCTTCTTCTTCTTCTTCTTCTTCTTCTTCTTCTTCTTCTATGATTATTTACGTTGCTCGCGCTCTACTGCCACCAGAAGGGCGGACTGGAAACTGCATGATAAATCCAAAAACTTCATTATGTCGGGATATTATGTCCATTGCTTTAAATAGTCATCCAAAAAATTACTCAAGTAAGAGTATAAAAGTATTTTGTTAATGAGCAACTGATGATCTCATCAGATACAGGAAAAACTGCAATTTTATGTAAACCTCTTGTACTTTACAGACTATCATAACAAAATTAACACAAATAAATAACATAATGACAAAATAACACATTAATAAACACAAAAAATTCTTGTAATTCAAAGTTTTTCAGTAGAAAATGTATGGAACTAATATTTAGAGTAGGTAATGACAGAAACGACACAGCAGAGAATAACAAAGCTCGTGTCTGAACAAGAGGTCTCACTTCAACATAAACTGTAGGCTTGTGTCTGATACTTTTTGATTAAAACAAGTTCTTCATTCAGTAACGTTGTCACATTGGGTAGAGTTTAATGTCCTCTTCAGACATCAGCCTTTATACCAAAAATCACAATGAGAAAAACATTTTATTTTGAAAAACTCAAAACAAAACCGACATATTGGCTAATATATCAGCTGTTGATGCTTTATAGTCTACACAGCTTTACAGTTTTCAAGCCTTGAAACTTGAAAATGAAATATGATCTATGATCACTACAGTTACCGACTAATACAGAAAATAATTGTGAAATGCCTAAATTAAAGTCAGGAATGTTTACTGAATAATAGGTGTAGTAACTCTATTTTACCATTAGGGTGCAGTAAAAACTAAATTTTATAAACTGCAGCTGGTTGCGTGGAGTTCTTCAGATTTTTACATATTTACAGATACATTAAAATGCATTAAATATAATAAAACAAATCAATGAATAATATTTAATATTATTATCAATTTAATATTAAATAATAATGTATTATCATTAAATTATTAATATATCTTAAAATACTATATATACCCACATATTTTTAATAGATGTTAAAATAATATTTTAATAAAATATAAAAATATGCATATAAAAATGATGTATTAAAAATAAAATAAAAAATAAATACACTAATATTTGATATCAACAGTAATTATAAACTAATAATTTTAATGAAATATGAAAAAAATATAATATACATCTAAAAACAATGTATTAGAAATAAAATACAAATAAATATTTGATATTTTAATAACATAAAGTAACTTATGTCAAAAAAGTCCAAAAAATAAATTGTTCATATTTAATATATTACTTAAAAAAGCAATGTATAACAGTAGTAAAAAAAATGTCTGTTCTCAGTCACTAATCTCAAAGTGAAGCTGATTTATTATATTGATTTATCACGTGTAGAGTGAAATATTCCAAGTGTTTATTTATTGTAATTTAGATGACTCTGGCTTGCAGATCATAAAAACATTCATTTTATTATTGTTCTGATATATTTAAATTTTCTGAGATTATTTTCCAAGTTTTCCATTCTCTCTGAGTCAATCATCAAAATTAGAAGAAATTTCTGCTGAAATTAACTTTTTTATAGAACAATAATTACATAAAAACATTTATCTATATACGTGTGTGAACAACTGTCCAGGAAAGCAGACTTTATTTATAAGAAATATCTTTATTTTAGATTTACAGAGATATTTACAGAATAAAACAACATTTCAATGGTAGGCTACTGTGATGCTGGAGGAAGTTCATGTTGACGGAGATTTTAAACAGGAAATCTGCAAAAAAGGAGCATTTTTCTGACACTTAAAGCTTCCAAACCATCAAAAAATAAAAACGGAAACATCCTGAGTCTCTGATAAAAAAAAACAAAAAACAAAACAGCTTATCAACAGTAGCTGGTGACTGAAACCTAAAAAAAATAAATCCGAGGAGACATAATTGGACAGAAGATCCAGCGACGTTTCTAATAATAACTGTGCAGCTGTTTGGTTTCCCAGGTCCGACTGGGAACATTCATCACGTGGTCAACCACTGAAGGAGCAGAAAGGGGAACAGGAAGTGCTCTGCGCTTCGATGGCGGCTGGTTTGTGTCAGGATTCAGGTTCTGGAGAAGCTTCTAAAGCAGCAACAGTTCTGCATTTCATCAGTGGCGCCCCCCAGAGGCCAGACCAGGCAAGGAAAAATATTAGGGATGGGCAATATGGACTTCGAATTTCATCACAATATTTTGTGAAAATGATAAAAAATAATGACAAAAAACAATTTATTATTACTTGTTTTTTTTTAGGTAACTATATGGCTATGAATGCATGGATCAGCATTCATGGCACCACAAACACAAATACTGCTTTCAGAAAAACATTTCCAATTGAAATTGGCTCCTTCCAGATGCAACTTTCTTAAACAAGTGTGATTTATACCACACCTTTTTATAATAACATAATATCTTTTTTTTAGTATTGTTTTATATGCATGCATGTATTGGGTTTTATGTGTATGTCTTGATTAAAGTAGATGATCGAATGCCTTTGTCTGACCTGAACATGATTTACTGGGGGGCTAACATTTTTCCAGACCGGGCCCTGGCCCCTTCTAGCCCCCCCTGGGGACGCCACTGCACTCAGGTAATGTCTCCCGGTTTTTCTCAGCATGTCTCAAAGCGTCGAGTCCTCACAGCTCGCAGCGGTCGTCCTCACCCTTATAGCGGTCCATGATGCTCAGCACGTCCTCCAGGATGGACGGGCCCAGGTCCAGGTTCAGGTCCAGCCTGGCCAGGGAGTCGGCCGGCTGGAGGCCCGGCACCGGGCATGGCGAGTCACTGCGCTCGCTGCTCAGATCCTCGTTGCTCAACCCGGCGTCCGAGTCCAGGCTGAGGCCGCGGCGGACATCCGGGGGTCCACACGTCTCCGACACGGAGTCCTCCGACGACGCCTCTGAGAAGGACCCGGATGATGGGACGAGCCTGCGCACGGCGGACGCTTCACAGACTTCCGGCTGAGCGTCGCCCGGCTCCCCTGGTTGCTGGTCCAGGTGGAGCCGCGGCGGCTTGGGCGGGGCCTGCTCGTGGGCGACGCACACCGGCATGGACACGGTGCTCTTCAGCAGCCCGTTGGAGGCCTGCTGGTAGTGGCAGCCGTTGTAGGCGAAGCTGTGGGGCTCCTGCGTGGCGGCCCGGTCCACGCTGTGCGAGCGGGCGTGGCCGTGGGCCGGAAGCATGTCCATCTTCCCCTGGAGGAAACCCACGTCTCCAAACATGTCCCCCTCGCCTTCCGGTCCCACGTGCGCGCTGTGGCGCACGTCTCCCAGCGGGGGGCTGATCATGTCCCCCGACAGGACGTCACGCAGCCGCAGCTTCTTCCCTTTCTTTGGGGTTGTAGTTTTCAGGTAGATTGGTGTCTTTGCTGGCATTTTGTCTTTTTTAAAAAGTGTTTGACTATGAGCAGAAGACTGAAGTATATATTTTTAATCAAATCAGCTTCCTCTCCTGCACAGAAAAGCCATATCCGGGGTGAAAAACGTGATCTTGTTTGCAGAAACTTCAGGAATGTGGCAACAAAACACCGGAGATCTGCGAGAGGAAACAAAAAAAAAAACAATGAATCAAAAAGAGATGAAGAGGAGAGGAAAAAAAAAATCACAGATTAACGAGATGGAGGGAGTTTTATAGGCTTCCCTCCTGAGAAAGACGAAAACGTGATTCACCCCAAGGTTTGAAAAGGGCAAAACACAAAATTTTACCAAATATTTTAGTCTGTTATTTGTTAAATGCCTTAACAAATATGTTAGTTTTGTTTTCTTTCAAGTATCCTAACTTACAAGTAACTTTTCAGGAAGATTATTTACTTAAAACAGGAGGTTGTTTTTAGTAAATAATTCCTTAATACTGATGAAAACGTATTTATGCCACAGTTAGATTAACCTGGTTAGTGACCCCATCACACACACATTCTTCAAATCAAACAAAATTGGTGTCAAACGTTTGTGCAGTTACAATTTTTACTGTTTAAAGATATTATCAATTTAGAGACATTATTAAAAAGTTTCCTGAGGTCATCATTAATATCTGCAAAGCAAAAGCAGCACAAATGAAAAAATGTGCTGCACAAATGTAGTCGAGTTGATCGACACCAACTTTGTCAGATTTGAAGAAGGTGAGGGGTCCGGTTGACCTTTCATGACCTCTGGAAACATTTATTGACATCTTTAAACTGATAAATAGCAGCAAAAAATGTCCAGAAGAAACATTTGGGACCAATTATGTTAGATTTGAAGAAGATGAGGGAACTTTACTCAGGTTTAGATTATTGTTGATTCTTGATAAAAGTTAATTAATCTGCCAGTGGAACTAGGATGATTTTTTTTAATCAATATTAAAGAATTGTTGATTTAAAACAAGCTACTGTTTCCTGCTGAAAAGTTGTTGTAAGCTTCAACTTATTTCAAGTTTACCAAGATATTTCCACTGGAAACTAAATCAAAATTATTTGGGTTTCACTTCAAAAACACAAAAACCTGCCAAGTATTTTAATCTAGTTTCATGTGAAATTAGTTTTATATGCTTGAATTAAGACAAAACCAGCTAACAAGTAACTTTTGTATTAAATAATTCCTTAATATTGATGAAAATGTTTGAGTTCCACTGGCAGAAACTTTAATTTAAAACAAGACATTTTCCCCATGTTGTAACTAGAACCGTTTCATCAAAATTTAGGAATTATTGACTCAAAACAAAACTCTTATATCTTGCTGGAAAGTTACTTGCAAGTTAGTAATATTTCAAGTTAGTTTCCTCTTAATTCAAACCTGCTTAGATATTTGCACTAAAAACTAGAATAAAAATCAAAACTACTTGATAAGATTTTGTGGATTTTGTGTTTTTGCAGCAGGTTCAAAGTTTCTGCTTTCCTTCCCTTATCGCGTCCAGAGGCAGCGGACAGAGCATGTGACGGGTTCACGGCCGGGTCGTCTCCAAGCAATGTTCAAGAAACAACTACCCTGACCTTTTCTGACCCCTGATATCTTAATTATTCATAACTATTTAAATTTAATTATGTAAAAACTAAAACCTTCTCAGTGAATTTTGCAGAAATGTTGCAAAAAAAAGAAAAAAGAAATGAGTTTGCATTTTTCACATTTTGTACGTTTCTGTGCAGGAATGAAGCACCGCCAGCCGCATGTGATGATATTCTGGGATCCATCACATGACAGCAGCATCTGAAAAACTGCTGCGAATGTTCAGAGCTTCAGAGACGCGGAAAATACTTTAAAAAGTTCATTTTAATTGATTTTCTCTGCAAAAACACAAACCATTACCTGATCGAGTTTCTAGTGCAAATATCTTATTACACTTGAAATAAGACAAAACTAATTTACAAGTAACTTTTCATGTTTTCATGCAGATATAAGAGCTTGTTCCCCAATATTGATTGATTGATACCGATATTGATTTAAAGTACTACCAGCAGATTATTTCACTTACAACATGGGAAAAATACCAGGGATGTCCAAAGTGTGGCACACGTGCCATTAGCGGCCCTCTGGATGATTTTGTTTGGCCCCTCTGCCCACAGAGGGTCTAGTGGAGAACAAAACACCAGACTGAAGACATTTATCATTCAGTTTTTAGTGAAAAAGATAAAAATGAAATAATGCAAATGGAAATTATTAATTCATCAGGCAGTTAATTGATTTGTTGCTTATTGTGACAGGTTTGGTCTCCCGTGAGACCAAGTCTTGGTTTTACATTAGATACGAAATTATTTTTAGTTAATGATTTTAGCAAACTATTGGACCAAAACATCAATAATAACTAGAAAAAAATAGTTAATTATTTAGTTAATAAGTAAGTAAGGTGTGCTCTGCCCACCTCTGGTCCCAAAGCATTTGGTAAAAAGTACTCCGTACATTTTTTTCAACAAAAAATTTATGAAACTTTAACAGAAACTGCAGATGTGTCTGTGTCCATTTTTCTTAAAACATGTTTGTTTTTCATACAGAAAGTAGAGAATCCAGAAATTTTACTCTTGTAAGAGTAGAGATACTTCATAATAAAATTATATAGTAAAAATACATTTTTCCAAAACATTGCTGAAGTACATGTAACCAAGTTGGTGTAACCAGTTACTATCCATCTCTGGCCAGCAGCAACCAGAAGGTATAAAAAAGTTGCATCAAGATTTGAGCAACTTTTCAGCTTTGAATGGAACAAGACAGGATTCGTCTGAGCGACTGATCGATGTTGCAAACACGTCTGTTACAAATTCCATAGAGGGAAACCGCAACCTGGACCGGTTCATGCCTGTAAAACTGGATTAATCTAATTACTGCAACAAAAAACACAAAAACCGATTTCCACAGACGCCTCTGCAGCGAGCAGCACCGCAGCGTCTGAAACGGCAGCCGAGTCCGATTGAAGTGAAGAACAAAAACAATCAGAGGTCAGGCCTCCTCTCAACACAAAGAGCCACAAACTCCTCGAGTCCGAACCAAATTATGGAACAAATGAATCATGTGGATTCCTAACGACGTTGATGCTGAGCTCATAAACACACCCAGGCCTAAATCTGGAACAAGTTTGACCACAACAAGAGAGAAACGAGCCAGTCAGAACCGGTCCAGACGAACCGGTGAAGCAACACTTTCTTCGTAAATTTGGAAGTTTTGCTGCAAAGATTTCAGCTTTCCAGCCAAACAATGACACAGAAAATGCAGTTTCATGTTTTTGTGAATAAAAAGGATAAAAAAAATAAAGCATAACTCAAGAGAAGAATCTTAAATGTAATTTAGAGGAAATTTAATCAACTGGATGCTACACTGCAAAAACACAAAATCCTACCTACCATTGTGGTTTTGTTCCTAATGCAAACATCTGAGTATACCAGAAATAAGACAAAACTAACATACTGTAAGATATAAAAACTTGTATTAAGTCAATAATTCCTTAATAATGACGAAAAAGTTTTAATCCAGATTATTTCATTTATAACACTACATTTTTTCCATGTTGCAAGTAAAATAATCTGCCAGTGTAGCCATTAGCTCATTATCAATATAAAGGAATTAAAACTTAAAACAAGCCAACATATCTTACTATGAAGTTACATGTATGTTAGTTTTGTCTTATTTAAAGATATTTCCACTGGAGACCAAACCAAAATTACTTGGTAGCATTTTGTGTTTTTGCAGTGTACAAAGGAATAAACTGGATTCAAACTCAAACAATCGATGAGACGCTTTCAGATATGATCATTTATCCCATCCAACGTCTGTTTGATTCCTAAAAACTGACATCCTTTGCAACTGGCAGCGACTTTATGACCAAACTCAAATCTTATTTGCTAATTTTCTGTCCTCTATAAAACCCTATAAAACCATTTATTGGTTTTTCAGTCTGTCCTCTCTGCCTACGCCGCCATTACTTGTGTTATTTCATTAAAACAGATGTGAGTACATCCTAAAACACACTTGTACTAAAAATAAAAATAAATACAAACTTAAATGAGATTAGAAAATTGTGTTTTAAAAGCCTTTAATAAATTCCACAGATCCTTTGACATAAATAAATTCCTTTTGTTGAATGTATTTTTTGCTGTTTTTTTATTTTTCAAGATTTTAAATATTTACCTGCATCTTAACTTTGAGCTTTAACAAAAAGATGATTTCTGATACACATTTTTTTTTTAAATCACAACGTCATCAGTAAAGCTAGTATTTGTGATAGTAGCTCTGTTGGATCAAAAAATACAATATTTCCTGTTTAATCCAGTTTTCACTCGACAGTTATTTTTTATTTTTAAGCAGTTATGAGACGTGGTGCAGAAACAAACTGCTGCTGCACAAGTTACTCAGCAGGTTGTTGCTAGGCAACCGAAGAGCGAGTGAGTTAGTCGATTCCAAACTAGTTTAGCTAGCTGAGAGGCTAACGTCTTTCCTCTGTGTCTCCCAGAATGCTGTGCGGTTCCAGATCAAAGTTCATTGAATTTGAAATAAAATGAATGAATGAAATTCTATACATTGTATATTGAATATGTTTTCTAATATTTATTGATATTGATTCATGTGTCCATCCTTTCTCTCTGAAACGGTCAGACTATAATACAGTCTCTAGAGTCGCGCATTTTAAATGTTGAATATACTGTATTTTAAGCAATATACTGAGCATGTATGTGTGAGTCTTATTTATTCTTGTATGTTTATTATTCATTTATTTATAATTTTTATAGTGTGCTATGCTGATACAAACAAATTTTCCCTCCTCATGGATCAATAATGTCTTATCTTATCACAATATATATCGTTATTGATTTATTGTCCAGCTCTACATGATTGTATTATGACTGATTACAAATAAAGAAATAACTGAGAATCCAGAAGTTTACAGTACTTTTCTGTTTAGTTTAGAGTAAAATTACGACACCAGCTTAACTCCTCATGAAGGAAGGTTAGCTGGCGTCTCTTCGCTTCATGCATCACCTTTCCTGGAAGCAGCGATCTGGGACACGCACTGATGATGCAATCAACCACGGAGGAGGAGGAGGGGGCAGAGGAGGCTGATCCAACATCTGTTTCTGCTCTCAGGCTCCATTTGTTTCCCCGACTGCTTAAACGGCACCGTTGAGCCACTCATGAGCTCATCATCATCATCATCATCTGGGACAAACAGCATTGTTGTTGTTCCTCTGCAGGTCGGTGCAAAGCTGCACAGCAGGCGACAGTTGGGCAAAACGTGCTCTGCCTGTCTGGTAATCCGTTTGTTTTTTTACAGTAAAGTAAAGCTGGTTTGATCTGTTGTTTGGTTAATATGGTTGTTTTTGCCAAAAGTGGGCTGTTTGATGCGCTTAATTTTCAAAAAACTTCCAAACTTGCAACCGAGAACTTGTATTGACAGAAAAATTAAAAAACGCAGAGGAACGCCTTCATAATGTGAAAGTTATGTTCTAATTTCTGAGACTGGGAAACTGCTTATGCACACTAAATAAACAGTCTGGTTGTAAACATGTCAACGAGAAATTACATCTTTAGTGGCTGTTCAGCCCTTGCTCTCTGCTCTCGTTTCTAACATCCTCTCACACTTGAAATAAGGCAAAACTGGCTTTTTTTCAGTCAATACTTGAAATTGAAGAAAAAATTCTAGTTCACTTTGAACAAGATTTAACAATAATCTAAACATTTGTTTAGGTTATTGAACTTTATTTTTCAGCTTTTTAAGTCAATGATTTCTCTGTATTGATTTTTAAAAAGTACTAGTTTCACTGGCAGATTATTTCACTTATAATAAGATACTTTTCCCATGTTATAGAACTTTTTCATCAATATTAAGGAATTATGCATTTAAAACAAGCTCCTACGTTGCTGAAGCGTTACTAGATTTTGTTTAATTTAATTGTGCCTAGATATTTACATAGAAAATAGACCAAAAATACTTGGTAAGATTTTGTGTTTTTGCAGTGTATGCCTTTCTATATGGTTTTTAGCAAGAAGTCCATGTTTTATTCTACAAATGGAGTTATACCATTACATCTGTTTATACTAAGGCTTTTCCATCTATGTAGTCCAATTAATAACAAAATATCACATTTTGGCTTCAGAGCTACACAAAGATGGTTACAAAGTCGGCCTTCTATCACATGAAGAACATTCAGGGATTAAAGGAATAATATCTCAACACAATCTAGAGAAACTCCTCCATACGTTTATCTTTAGTCGCATTGATTATCGTAACAGTGTCTTCACAGACAGTGTCAGCCTAAAAAAATCAATCAGATCCAGAACGCTGCTGTTGGCGTTCTGACTAAACCCAGGAAGATGGAGCACATCACACCCGTTCTGAAGTTCTTCCACTGGATTTAAAATACTGCTGTTAGTTTATAAATCACTGAATGGCTCAGCACAAAAGTCCAAGTTACAGTGATAATCACATGACCAACAAACAGAAATCATTATTTTCTCTGAACACTTCAGTAGCGCAGTATAGTCAACAAATCTCCACATAAACACTTTTTTCTCCTCACATGAGTCATGTGACCTACAGCAGGATGTTACTACTGGCAGAAACCACAAAGAAGAAGATGACAGGAAGTAGCTGGAGGATGATGGTGCGGCATGTTTCTTACATGACTTATCACAATTAAAATCAGTTGTGATTTATTTTTCATTTAACAGAAACAGACCAATTGCAAACTTGTGTTTTTTTAACTTAAGTAGAATACCAGCAGCGTTTCCATTAACTATAGAATTGAGCAGCTTGAATTTGCTTCATGGAAAAACTGCAATTTAGAAAAAACTCTTTTCAATAAAAAGTATTGGCGCTAGGATTACGTGTTTTTTTCAGCGACATCAAAATTGGTTTATTTCTGAAAACTGCAATAGCAAAACTTATTTTGCTTCAGAGGAGCAACATAACCAGATGTTACCACTGATGGAAACAATGAAGAAAACAACGACAGGAAGTAGTTGAAAAATGGTCAGCATCTTTTTGTTTGCAATAATGAGTTATTGCAAACAAACGTATTCACGTGTGATTTTAATTGCATTTCTTATTTAATGGAAATACAGCAATTGTGAAATTATGTTTTTTTGACATTAGCGGAATATTGTAAGATTTTGCGCACATTTATGACGGAAACGCAGCTGTTGTCCAACTCGGCCATCCTCCAAAAGATGACATCTTCCTTCTCCCTAAAAGTGATGACTCCATGCGCTGCCTACACTTTGAATCAGCTCAGATTGTGATTCACGTCTGCTTTACATGTTGCAAAATCCGTCGGAGGAGCAGCTTTTCAGTTTTCCATCGCCTCGCTTTGTTGCCGTCCCCCTAATTGGGAACAGTTTAACTGGTTCCAGCAGCTGCTGGAGTACATCCAGTTAAAAAAGGCTGTGATCAGAGGAACAAAGTGAAGGTTTAAATAACTTCCTCAGCTCTCATACTGTGTGTGTTATGTAACTGCAGCCGCTGAGATCATCTGCAGGTTCTCCTGAAGTTTCCCCAGCTGACTGATTTCATTCCCCCACCGGGAAAAATTCACGCAGTTTCATTCTTCACTTGATTTCCTCCTTTAGTAAATCACGTTTAGCTCATTTAACCAACTTTGACGCATGTAAAACATTTAAACCCGTTTTATAAATTAGATTATGGTAACCAGCCATAGTCCACTGAACAGCTAGCAGGAGAAATCTTGTAAAATTATGAATAAAATGACCTTTTTCTTGCAAAAACGCATTGAAAAGCGTAAAGCTGAGACTTTTCCTGCCTGATGTCCATGTGGAAGCGCACAAAGGGAGAGTGACACGCAGCCTGCCAGAAGCTTTTATGTCAACAAATAAAACGTAACACAGGTCACTTTTTACTCGTTTTGTTTCCCATATAATAGAGACACAAAAACCCCATTCAGACGCTGAGCAGCGGTGACCAACCTCACATTTTAACGCATTAAAAGACCTCCAAAAACACTGAAAATAGTCATTCAAAGTCGATATTTACCTCAAGGATAAAATCTGTCTTTTCTCCTGGGAAATCACAGTGTTTTCTTTTTAAAGTCCAACAGTCCACGGACACGAAGGTGAGTTTCCTGCGGGGAATAAACCTCTTACTGACGGGTCGTTATTACTGTCTGAGAAAGTTAAAGTGGATCAGCTTCCCAGCTGAAGGAGAGGCGTTAAATCAGGTCAGCCGGAGGGAGACTTCCGGTTTAGGATTTCAAAATAAAATGAGAATCAAAAAGATGCTTTTTTTGGTCAGATTTTTACAGGTAATATTTTTTAAAAAGTTTTAAACTATTTAAATCTATCTATCTATCTATCTACCTATCTATCTATCTATCTATCTATCTATCTATCATCTATCTATCATCTATCTATCTATCTATCTATCTATCTATCTATCTATCTATCTATCTATCTATCTATCTTTTTTCTGACACTGAATTCCATCCATCCATCCATCCATCCATCCATCCATTAACCCATCCATCCATCCATCCATCCATCCATCCATCCATCCATCCATCCATCCATCCATCCATCTCCCCAGGCAGGGATTTAAACCCTGAACCGTCTTGTTGCTAGGCAACGACTTTCCCATCATGCACCTCGTACCTAATACATGTATTATAAAACAGCAACAAACATGGGGGTGGGATTATGTTTTATTTTGAAGGACCACCACCGCTGTTTCCGGTTTAGGCCTCATCAACATTCACCTACTTGACTATTCAGACCTCAAAATCCTCAGATAACCAATCAAATCCCAAAGTTATCGATAGAAACTAATCAAAACTGATTGGAAGCAATGATTGTCTCTTTATCAAATACGTTTACTTAAATAAAGGTCAAAGGTTGGGAAATTAAAGTTAGTAAAACTGCCAAATGAAACGAGTTTAATCTGTTTTAATAATGAGAGGAAGGTAAATTCTGCTGCTTTGTTTTTATTGTTTCAGACAGAAGTAAAAGTGAACCCGGTCCACTTCCCCCGGGGTAATTATGGAGGCTTTTTACTGCCTGCGTGGAGGTGAGGAGAGCCATGAGCTTTAATTTGATTAGCAGCAGGAGCAAATACACAGAGCCACTGTTCAGGATCCAAACCAGAACCGGAACCGAGCCAGGTCGGACTCGGAGAAAAAACCCTCCAGAAATAACCTCTCAGAGCCAGAAAAGCTTTGAAAGCTGAATTCATTGCGTTGTTTTCTTACAGATTTCCCTAAATGTGGGTCAGTCAAACACAACATTTTCCCCACAGAGCCAGGCAGTCTGCCCATTACTGGGAGTTTTTCTGCTCTTAAATGTGCCCTAAAATCTTTATTTGCTGGCACAGGCCAAGCTTACCCTACAGGATTGTTGCTGCTGCTGCTGCGTAATTACAGTGAGGTAATGAGGATTTAACAAATGGAGAATGCAGATGCACGCTGTTTGCAGGTCACACTGCAGACGCATCGTGTTTACGGCCCCTGAAGGAGCCTTAGAGCCAAATTAAACCCGGTTCCCTCCGGCAAAGAAAGATGCTTTGGTTGGTGGAATAACCGATTAACTTCTTACAAGGTTGCACCAAAAGCAAAATATGGTCTGCAAAAACACAAGACCAAGTAATTTTGGTCTAGTTCAGAGTGCAAATATTGTATTACTTGAAATAAGACAAAATTAATTTAGAAGTAACATTTCAACAACAACAGCTTGTTATAAGTCAATAATTTGTTAATATTGATGAAAACGTTCCAGTGGCTGATTATTTCACTTCTTACATGGTAAAAATGTAAAATGTTTTAAGTGAAATAATCTGCAAGTGGAACTATACGGAGCTAAATCGGAGCCATAAAGTTTTGCTTGAAAGGGGGGAAAAAACTATTGAAACTGAAAAACAGTTTGAAGCTCAAACATTATTTTGAAACTGAAAAAAATTTAAACTGAAAAAAAAGTTCTGAAATTGAAAAAACTAAACTGAATTTTTTTTTGTTTCTTGAAACTGAAAGAAATTTAAAGATATCACATTTTTTTTCAAATGAAAAAGAAAAGTTTTTTCAGCTGCAGATTTTGAAAAGTTTTGTCTTGTTTCAAGTGTACTTAAATATTTGCACCTGAAACTAGACCAAAAGTAAGATTTGTGTTTTTGCAGTGTACTGGAGTAATTTGTAGCATGAAAGACCAAAAATCTTGAAGTATTCATTTCAATAAAAAAAAAGTCTCAAACAAAAGAGAAAATCTGAGAATAAACACTTTTGGTATAAAAAAAAAACATTCCAGCCAAGAGGTGGGGTCACCCTGGACAGGTCACCAGTCAACACAGAGACAAACAACCACACACACCTAGGGAGAACTTAGAGAAACCAGTTAACCTGACAGTCATGTTTTTGGACTGTGGGAAGAAGCCAGAGTACCCAGAGAGAACCCACCATGCACAGAGAGAACATGCAAACTCCATGCAGAAAGACCGGGGCTGGGAATCGAACCCAGAACCTTCTTACTGCAAGGCAACAGCTCTACCAACTGCACCACTGTGTTATAAATCACTATAAATTTTGTTCCTTAAATTGGAAAAAAGTTTCTATAAAGGGATTCTCATTTAATCTTTTGTTTGAGACTAATTTTTTATTAAAATGAATACATCAAGATTTTTGGTCTTTCATGCTACAAATTACTCCAGTACACTGCAAAAACACAAAATCTTACTTTTGGTCTGGTTTCTAGTGGAAACGTCTTAGTACACTTGAAATAAGACAAAACTAACTTACAAGTAACTTTTCATTAATAAATAGAACTTTGTTTTAAGTCAATAATTCCTTATAATTGGTGAAAAAATGTCCAGTTCCTTTATCAGATTATTTAATTTGTAACATGGGAAAAATGTCTTATTATAAGTGGAATTTCATTAATATTAATGAATTATTGACTTAAACAAACATACATCTGGCTGAAAAGTTCTTTGTGAATTAGTTTTGTTTTATTTCAATTTTAATATGTTATTTCCACTAGAACTAGACGGAAATAATATTTAATGTTTTGCAGTGTGGGACTTTACAGTTCCCGTTCCTGCAGTATTTGGGGTTTCTGATGTGTCTTCAGTTTAGAAATCACTTCAAACAAAGCCGAATTATCTCTCTTGCTCTCCCTCTCTGCTCAGGGTGGAATGCGTAAACCAGATAAGAGCAAAGTTACACAACTCCTCTGACAGATGTGGTTATATCACACAGCAGGAATTACACACAAAAATGACCTCAGTTAATCAAATCAAGATGAGGTGGGACCATATGAAGAGCACAAACAAAGTCCTGCAGAAGGCCTTCAGCTCCCCCTGCTCTGGAGGAACCCCATGCCAAGACCCCTGGAGGGGAAACAGAGTGCAGCGCTGCAAAAACAAACTCTGACCGAATATTCTTGTCTGGATTCCAATGCAAATATCTGAAGCTAACGTACAAGCAGCTTTTCAGCAAAGAAGAGCTTGTTTTAAGTCAATAATTCCTTAATATTGATGAAAAAGTTCAAGTTCCACTGGCAGATTATTCCACTTATAGCCGTTACCTAGCAACCCCAGCCAAGCCCAGTGCGTTACCTAGCAACCCAGTTCTAGTTCCAGGGACAAATTAGAATATGGCAACACCGTCTTGTTATAAGAGGAACTAAAGCTTGATCATCAATATTGAGGAATTATTGACTTAAAACAAGTTTATATTTCTTGCTGAAAAGTTTTTGTAAGTTACTTTTGTCAAGGATATTAAGATATTTGCACTGGAAACTAGACAAACATACTTGGCAAGATTTTGTGTTTTTGCAGTGAACCCCACATATTTTTGGTCTAGTTTCTAGTGCAAATATCTTAGTACACTGGAAATATTGATGGGGAAAGTTTTAGTTCCAGTGGCAGGTTATTTTACTAATAAAATTTAAAAAAATGTCTTGTTGTAAGTGAATTAATCAACCAGTGGAGCTAGGACTTTTTAAACTCAATATGAAAACATTTACTTTAAAAAGCCCCTATATTTTACTGAAAAGTTATTTATAAGTTAGTTCTATGTTAATTCAAACGTACTAAGATATTTGCAATAGAAAGTAGACCAGGTATACTTGGTAAAATTATGTTTTGCAGTGAATGTTTGGGTCTGATTGTGATTAAACTGCAAAGCTCTCTGGAAGTGACTCATCAGGTGTTTCGGACAATAATAACAATAATGGAAAACATTTAAAACAGCAACATTGTTTTATCTTCACAACAAACTTCTAATTTTGTTTCAGTTGTTCGTCTAAAAACTGCTGATCAAAGAAGAGAAATGGGATTTAACTTTTCCTGCTGCTTGGAAAACATGTCAGCACATGAGTCAATCCCTCTGCTGACGTTTTCATGTTGTTGTGAAACAGGCCCATTCAGCGCAGGTGGAGCAAATCTGACACCATGAAACTGAGAATTTCACAATTAAAGATTATGAGACTTGGGAGAAAAAATATCCCACGCTTGAATCAGATTCAGTCTGTTTCACTGTAAATGTACATGTCTGCCACTGACACATGCAGGATAACTGCTGAAACCTTCAGAAGGGTGATGTCACACCTAAATAATTCATTTTGCTGCAGGTATTTATCATAGTTTGGTTCTGATTCACGTCTTCAAATCAAGAGGGAAAAATAATACACTTACTGTATTTGTTATTTCTGGGAATACTTTCCTGCGTTATGTCTCATGCCAATCATTGAGTTCCACCTTTACATACATTTAAACACCAATTTTCTGCATTTCTACCAAGCATAAAACTACACAAATTGAAATTACAAAATAATTAACTGAAAGCTGCAGTGTGTAACTTTTATAAAATATTTTTACATTTGTTGAAGCTGTCATCATGTCATGACAGTTTGCTATGAGGCAGATAATCTATGAAAAAATCGAGCTCCTCTATCTTTTCCCACTGCTACCAGGAAACAACCAATCAGAGCCGGGAGGCGGGCCTTACTGCTGCCAATCACTGCTCCATTTACCATAGCCTGTCATGAATGCTAAGGCTGTTAAGGCTAGTTAGCATGGCCACTGATGACAGCAGATAAACAGTTTTCCTGCAACGGTAAGTTGTTTCTTTTCCATTAACACATTGATTGACAGCGCTAAGCCCCGCCTCCTGGCTCTGATTGGTTGTTTTTGGTGGTTTTCTTCAGACAGTAATAGTAGCTCAGGG